GTACTCCATTTGGAGTGCATCAGCCATCCTCGCTTCAATTTGGAGACTCCAAGAAGCTTCTGCAGAGCTGCCCAGAAGCAAAAGCGTTGGACACTCCCTGGTCTGTCAGTACCCTGTACAACCGAAACTTGTATTTCTATATTTACTGGATTCAGCATCACCTTCTTGTCACTGCCATTGGCACTGTGGGCTGTTTGATTTTGCTCCTGTGGCAGCGTGGCTTGTTTGCGATGGGCTGCGCAGGCAAAGTGCAATCTGCGTAGATTGCGTAGCTCAGTTGGCGGCTTCAGATTGGTCAGCTCTGGGTAGCGTTTGCTGTAGGTCTGCTGAAGCAACGACATAAGGGAGGCAACTTTGCCCTAGGCTCAACATGGCTCTTTGCTGAGATATCGAACTAGTTCATGAAGCACATCCACCTCAAGTTGGAACGTCAGGTTGGGGTTCCCTCATGTCAGCAAAATTGCGTTCTGACACAATGACCAGATTTCGAGGGCGTGATGACATGAAACCAGGACGTTGCACGTGCTTCTGCAGTGGGAGAACTTTTTGCCGCATGTGTGGCAGCGAAGGGGTTGGCAAAATGTGTGTGTGTGTGTGTGCGAGTTCCCTGTTCTGGAGATTTAAAAATGTTTCGGATATGTATACAATGTACACGTGATCACAATTGATCACATATGCAAAATCTGTATTATGATGTCATACACATGCATACGTATATACATTATACAGATATACAGTATACAGCATTATACAGCATGTATTTTACATTATTGTTTCATGTATATATGTATACATATATATATATATACACACATTCTTTATATGCAGTCTATGCGCATCATGTTCGATCTGTTGCTGGAGATTACAGCTGCTGTCCAAACAAAACTGCCAGGCTTCGGAGACAACTTCATCCCTCCAACGAGCCATCAGCCAGGTAACTGACTCATTCTTTGTTGCTATAAATGGGTTATAAATGGGGTGTAATTGGCGTATGTGTATATATGTATATATATATATATATTTACATATATCATATATATAATTATATTATATACATATAACTATGCATACTGTATATGCATGTGTATGTATATTTGCATATACATTAATATGCGTGTAAATACTTAGCTAAAGATGTGTTGCTTGTCAATATTTGAGAATAGTCACTGAAAGCGGAGATGTGATTCAACTCAGGAGCTTCGAACAAAGCGCCTGATGCTCCACCAACACACAGTTTGGGGAGCTGGACAATATATCTTTGACCACTTGGGGAGTTCCCCTTAACCCTTAACTATTCAACATCCAGACCGTGCCATGTCTTGGGTCACATTGGGTCACTGTCCCACAAGAAGGCATGAGTTTGTTGAATATGAACCTCCGCTGTTGTTTACTTGGAAAGGACGGGGGTAGCTTCTTGGCATGCGTGTGAGAATGTTGTCAAGGTTGACAACTTCCCGTCTCAGAGGTTCGAGGTTTTCCACCTAAGCTTGCAGGAGCTGGCATTCCTCACGACTGTGAAGATTTAAACCATCAAGCCAATGTATCCTCCTGAGAATCCCACAGATGCATAGAATAGACCAGCAAAGGAGAAGAATTGTCCCGTCCCCGATTTCATTTGAATAGTTGGACGGTGACTTCACTTGCCAGACTCGCGGTGTACGCCAACTGCAACCTCGAGTTTGGCACTTGGTCCTTACCAGGTTGTTCTCTCCCATTGACAGCCAGTTGTGCAGCTGAGCATGGGCCCTCCTTGTCTACCTATAAACATGCTCATCATTGCGACATGTTGTGGCCAAAGTGAAATATGTTCCTTCTAAAAAGAAAAGCATCGAAAAACTTTTGGAAGTATAAACTTCTGGAAGTAGAAACTGTGGTAGGGGGCTAGCTTCTGCCGAAAAGCATGGAAAAATTCTGAACTGAGGATTCACTGATTCGGGAAATGCTTTCCTTGGAAGCAGCAAGATTGTAGTCACAAGTGTGGTAGGTCCTTCATTAGTTTCCAAGTCTAAGTCGAGAGTCCTACTTGCTTTTGAAGCGGATAGATACACCGCAAAGCACCCCCAGGTTGAGACCAAATAGATTCACGTAAAGCCTGATAGAAGCATTGAAGATGAACAAAAGTATGTATCAAATTGTATTAGTACGCGCAAAGCCCCCAGTTCGCCCACACAACTTCTTAGGGATTTTGAAGGAATATAAATTCCGACCACCGTTAAACTTTACATTCAATTGGGAAGATCAACAAGGGTATTAGGAATGTAATTTCCCACCCCCGTTAAACTTTACATTCAATTGGGAAGATCAACAAGGGGATTAGGAATATAAATTCCCACCCCCGTTAAACTTTACATTCAATTGGGAAGATCAACAAGGGGATTAGGAATATAAATTCCCACCCCCGTTGAACATTACATTCAATTGGGAAGATCAACAAGGGGATTAGAAATATAAATTCCCAACCCCGTTAAACTTTACATTCAATTGGGAAGATCAACAAGGGGATTAGGAATATAATGATGAAGATGAAGATGAAAATTATTATTATTAGTATTATAAATTATATATTATTATTATTATTATGATGATGATGATGTTGATGATGTTGTTGTTGTAACATTCAACGCACAGGTAGCTAAGCTGTGCGTTGCAAGATGAAAGCCATGATCATGGACATGTACATTTTGTCCCACAAAACGCTGTGTTTTTTATGTTCGGACATGTCGTCTGCATCGGCGCGGGCAAACTGAGGGGTTTGCCCATATTAGTACCACTTGTCCAATCTTCTTTCGTAACTTTTCCCAGCCAGGATTCGTTTATCCACCTGACTCCTTAGGCAGAGACACGAGCTGTCGCAGAGGAGGGGTTCAGTTCAGGAAGGTCACCGGTTCAGGTGGAGAAATGAAGGTCCAAAAACGGAGTTCTTCAAAGAAGAATGAACTCCGTCGATTCATTGGTGGTTTCAAATATCATCAAATATCATCAAATATCTATTCCAACCCTCCAAATTGGGGAGTTGCCTACGTTTGGAAGGCGGCCTTGCGGCCGGTGTCCAGTACTGTGTCGCTGGAAGTTCCGGAGAAGTTGATGGAACTGTTTGAGGAGGTGGCTAAGGAGGCAGCATACTGGAGCAAGTTTGGATGCTGTTGGATGATGGGGTTTGCAGTGGTACAGTGCCAACAGATAGAGGAACATGATGAATTTAAAACTAATGACTAATGTGGATGAATGGGGTATCCAATTTTCAAGAAGTCCATGTTGGATAATGTTGGATGATGTTGCTTGGGCATGATCCTTTGTGATTGTTTCCAAAGCATTTTGTTGAATCTGGCTCTATATAGGTCAACTGTACTGGATTTGCTGAAGTTGTTGTATGTTTCGGTCCCCTGCATTCAATGTGAAACTGCTTCACCTTGCTGCGATGTCAATGTATGTATATAGAATGGGCTATCGCCCGGGTGCCGCCGACCCCCCTTTGAAGCACCAACAAGGCAGTGTGGCTAGGGATCGAAGGCTAGGAAACGGTGGTCTTGAAGCCTCAACAAGACAGTGTGTAGAGCCGCTGCGGAGGGTTTAACGGTTTGAATAAAGGTCTGAAGGCTGGCAAACGGCACTCGTGAACCCCCAACGACAGAATGTGTAGTGCGGCTGCGAACAGTACGCGTCCGGAGGTCGGCAAACGGCGGAACGCCCCAAGAATAGAGCGTGTAAGGCCGCTGCGGAGGGTTGACGCGTTTGAAGGCTGGCAACCGGGAGTTTTAAGTAGAAGCTTCAGCAAAACACTGTGTAGGGCTGCTGGGGAGCGTTTAGGGGTTTGAAGGCTGGCACGCTTGCAGCCCCAAGAAGACAGTGTGTAAGGGGTTGGGAGGCTCGCAAATGGTAGCCTTGAAGGGATTGATGAAGACAACGTTTTTCCCGTAGCGCCGCAAAAGAAACCGTGGTATCTGGACAAGGGGCGGAAGCGGCCAGTACTCCGTGTCACGCGGAAGCAGTTTCCATTGGCTCCAGGGTCCACGCAGCCCAAGGGCAAACGTGCAAAGAAGGCGTTGTCATGGACATGCACATTGGGGAAGCAGGCGACCCATTGACAGCTTACATTGCATTAACGCGAGTCCAAGACAGGTATGGTTTGTTTGTGTACCGACCGTTCCCTGCAGCACCATTTTGCGGTTCTGGGGTGGTGAAAAAATGGATTGGAGGGCGCTGCGAGCGAAATACCGAGACGAAAGACAATGCAAAGAATGCAATGAAGCAAAGCCGGCGTCTGCATTCACGGCTGGTCGATGGAAACGAGCAGATGCGGCGAGAGTATGCAAGGAATGCATTCGTAGGCACGTTGAAGCGCAGCAGCCGTGGCAATGCATGGCCTGCACGGCGTGGAAACAGGAAGATGCATTCAAGACAGAACATGCAAGGCCACAAGCCACATTTTATCGTATTTGTAAGACGTGCGAACAGACACAAGTGTGTAGTGTTTGCAATACACGCAAGGACGAAAAGAAATTTTCTGGCGGGGCCTGGAAACGAGCACGCAGGGGCGGTATAGAGTGTGTCTAGATTGTTCGAGTAAAGCATGGGGCTGGTGGAGATGCAGCGTCTGCAAGGTAAAGCAAGCAGCGTGCGCTTTTGAATCTTGGCTGGCGCAACATCGTTCTTGTAATGGTGACCAAATCTGTAGCAACTGCTGGCAGTGCCCCATTCCCCGGGGAAGCATCAGCAAAGCGGTACAGCGGGTAGCGGCAACGCAGGCGAAAGTGGCGAGAAGGGCAGCGGAAGAAAAAAAAGGCACGCGCCATCGCCGATGTCTGGGATGCCATCGCGGAACGAAAACGGAAGAGGGAACAGGAGAGCCCCCAAAGGAAGGAAGCAGAGCCGAAGCCAAAACAGCGCAGACAAGAGAACGGAACAGAAATGACCACAGAGGGGCCTGCAGAGGTACATAGCCAACAGGACGACAGCAACGAACGGCCGAGGGCGGTGCGGCCAAGAAAGGCAGCAGAAGCCATGGCCAAGGGCAAGATTTTCCAATACGTGTGCCCGCATTGCAATCAGTCTGTAAGCAGTACCGTACGAACAGGCCAAGTAGATCACCGCCGCACATGCGGTAACTTTTTCCGCGTCAGGGAAGGACGCCCCTGTGCGAAACAGTATGACTACGTTTGTCCCACCCGCAATGGGCATGTGGCCAGTAACGTGGCAACAGGGCAAATAGACCATCGAACAGTCTGTGGGAACCAATTTTCTGTTCAGGATGGCGTTGTGAAAG